CGAGGGGGGGGTCGTACCGACTTGACCAAAATCCCAACTAATGATGTGCCCTGGCAGGTAGTAGGGTGTGTCAGGAGAAGGAGAGCGGTTTGGGTTCGCGCCAGTCCGTTGTTCACTAATTGCTGGAGCAGGCAAACGGCAACAACTGATGGAAAAAAATGTTGGCGTCGCGCTAAGCCCCGCCCCCTGACACGCCTCAGTCTCTGTAGCAGACAAGGCTGCACGTTTCTCTAGTGGGCGGCGCCGCAGCTAGCCGATCGGAGGTGTCTTGGCTATGGGGGGGGGGGGTGTACAAGAGGACAAAATTTGGGGTGGGGCCATACTTAGCAGTGATTCTCCCAACGCTAGGACCCGCATCGATCGTCATGCTCTCACGGCTTCTTTAAGACCTTTTTACGTCGCCATTAGCGCACCTTTTTCCGCGAATAGGCCACTGTCAGCTCTGGTTGCTCCCCCCCCCCCTTTATGTTCATTACCAGATTATCGCAATATGTGCCTTTATATGTTTTAGTGGATACATTCAAGACAAAAGTGGTCAAGGAGGATGCGGGAGAGAAACCAGGTGAGCCATTAAAAGTTCTTCATTGTGAAAACTTTTCTAGTATGATGTTTTCAGCGACAAAGGTCGATGCTCAATCTGAACAGACTCATATGTCTCTACTGGATAGAGCCGACGCCCAAGGTACTCCATTGAAATGGCATAGACGCTAATTTTTCCTTGCTTTCGATCCCCCTTAATAATCACTCGTTTCAGCCGAACAAACCCTGCACGAACCATCCTCAGGTAATCAGCACTCTTGTGGACGCAATCAGTTTCTTTTTTTTCTACCTTAGCTTTGGGTCTCTTAAAAATGGTTTTTCAGGCGGTAATGATTTTCTAAGCGGACTGTTGAATGTCGCCAAAGATGTGGGCAAGGTGGTGGAGAAAAGTCAGTCTGGTGCAGACGCTAACACTTCAGGTATGTTTCTGCTGAACGCGAAGGAGGCAGTGACCAATCTGGGAGCGAGTGGGGTAATGGGAAAATTGTTATCACAACTATGTCATCCGGAATTTGGAAAAGATAGTTCCTACATAGGTTGGTACCCTGTTCGACATGGTAACAGCCCATAAGCGGAACCGCATTTAGATGCTTCCACAGTTCCTAGTGGCATTCGGGTACATGGCGCATTCCAAGCAATACTGCAACCCTCTCCAGACTTTTTCCCCATAGAAGCCAGTTACTATTGTAGTTTATATAACTGGTTACCTCCAAGCTAGCTCCAGACATCTAGATGAAAGATCGAGTTGAACGCACCGTCATAATGACTACAACACGACGGGGGACTGGCGTTTGGTACGAAGATCAGATTACAGTGTACCGGCGCTAAGATAGGCATCACTTTGTGTGGAAACAGAGGCGAGCTGGCCGCCGCTCCAGTACAGTGGCAGCGCTGCGTCAAACGCGCTATCGTTCGCGAGGATCATGAATGTATAGGCGAAAATGTAGATTATTATCCTTGCAAATGATAGGGCGTGTGACGGAGGCGTGGACAGGAGCGCTGCCAAGGCGGCTTTCATCACTGGTTGCCGATCTAACTCATGCCCCGTCACATGCTCTATCGCCTGCAGGGTATCATGGCTGTACCGTCTATCACGATAATCCGATCCCGTGCGCGTGTGGTGTTCGTTAGAGGCACAGTCCATGCTGATTGTATGGGCGGGGCCAGGTCCATTGTAGTGTACTACTCGTTGATGTATTTCTCTTTCCCAAATCATAAAGGAGTGAAAGCTGTACCAGATGTAAAGTTCGCCCACTCGGCCACCATGCTTTTTCTGTACCGAATAGGATCCTATCGAGACGTGAATTAAGCACTAGGCTTGGAAAGTAGCCCGTCATTTACACGGCCCCTCCCTTGCATGTGTTGGTTACGGGTGTGTCACTATGCCTGCGAAATCAAGCGTCCACGGGCAGCATGAAATATGTCTCCCTTTCGAGGTCAAGCTGTATAGACGGCAAATACTCATCCTCGATGCGTCCCCACGGCTTGTAGTGATATCGACTGCGTGCGCATTCGAGCCATACAGCAACTTGGTCTCGAATTGTCTCAGAAGAAGCTTATTGCTAAATATTCATAGAACTAACCCCCTCTAAGCCAGCAATAGACATTCGAATGGTCCTTATCTGGCTGGAGTAGTGTCATTTAGTGCTTGGGCGGAAATGTTACCATCACAACCAATCGCGTAGTGCGCCGTGGCTGCTTTACGTAATCACACCGCTGATTGCAAGGACGCGAGCCAAGCCCACGGTTGTTCCACTTTTCCCTTAAATGTTTTCCTTTTCGTACCGCTCGGAAGCGGCGCACCATTGAGAAGGACAGTGGCAGATCTGACTCCACCCACACAGTCAGCATGGACTGAGCTTTTCATAAAAGGTAGAGGGATTTTGTCCCTATATGGGGTGAAAGCGGTACCGGTACCATATATAGAGCCCACCCACTTTCCCACCACGACTTATTCTCTAAATCGGTGCATTCAATGCGTAAGGATCTCACGAGACTGAGCTCGCATGATTTTCTGTGTCAAATAGCACTCTTTGGAGGCATCCGGTTAGCACGAAGCCTGAGAATAGCCTTCTATACAGTCCCCTCTCCTAAGGTTACGGGTTATCATACAACATAGCTGCCGTTGAGTAACTCAACATAAGGCCAGGAAACGGTCTTCATACCAATTTCGCACACTCTTTGTGTCCCGAACACCTATCAGTTGCTGGCTGTGAATCTCTATTGTGTTCGAGATCTTCTGGTAATGCCACCACTCAAGGAAGTTCACAGCAGCTGAGCCAAGAGGACATTGCCAAATTGACCGCAGGAATCGGCTCTTTTGGTGAGTTGGGTGTCTCCCCAAGACCTCTGTATACAGTTAGATGTGAGATTTTTCAGTTGGTGCTCTCCAAGGAAAAGCCACGGATTATTTCCAGAAAAAAAAACCAGTGAGGTAATTTTTTTGGCAGACTTCATTTTCAGTTCAGGACGTCTATATGCGGTGCGGTTGCTTTTTCGCGTGTTTGAACGGTTTGATTGTTGGCCTGTTTCACAGCTTCGCAGTGTTCGTCTTCGAAGGTGCGAAATAAATACGTTTTAGTCCTCGGGGCGTGGCACGAATCACCGTCTAGAAACGCTTATCTTAGGCCTAACCTAGGCTACAATTCGAGGGCTCAGGCTACCCTGATTTTTTACGCCGTCGCGTCCGCGGACGGAGTTCGAAATCGGGTTTTCGCTGAGAAAGCTGGCCGCCGCTCTCAACGGGCGGTTTTCCTTTTTCTGTGGCGCTGTATTCCATTCCAATCGCACCATTCTGGTTGAGTTTTTTTCTGCGACTTGCGCCCTATGGACAACAATTTTTGCCCCGTTTCAATGGATTTTCGTGGAAACCTTTTTCATTTTGTTTTGTTTTTCTAACGCACATTGCGATGCGACATAGAAAGATGAAGTCAGGGAAATTAAGAAAAACAGGAAAACCAACCACCAGAATAGTTCACAAAAACCCACAAAATACCCACCAGATGGATTCGAAGGTCTGCAGTGGTTCCTAAAAAAAGTTGCAGTCGCACAGGAAACGATTTTTTTCCTGCTAAAGGAGAGGTCGAAAATAATCAATAGAACAAATAGGGTGGCCGTACGCTGTCGCCGAACTACACGCGCACTTGCAAAAACCTAGTCATAATCATCTGGGAGCTATGCAGTGCAAGGCAATGTTCATGGGAGAGTGAATGAATCATACTGTACTTTTCATAGCTATCTCATTCCATTTATCTTTATCGTTTCAGAGGAAAAGAAGCCGGAAAATGAACCGGTGATCGACGACATTGAAGGAAAGTAAGTTTAATCGTTTTTTGCAGCGAAAATTGTTGCCGTTGGTTTCATGCGGAGCGCAACCTGGGCGCGCGGCCACGCCTTGCTGTAAAATGAACCTCACAGGACGGGTCGTATTTGAGAGTTAACTGTACATTCACCTCCGATCCATGGATCCAGGTTCTTGCTGCGTAAGGTGAATGGGTACGAAGTGATGAGCTCAGCCTCAAAGGCAACTGGCATCCGAGTTCGAGGGCTTTTTGTGACTGGGTGCATCGTTCAAGCTTACTCCACTGGCCACCGCATCATTCGCGGACGCGTAACTGTGGCAAACGCGCCGTTAACTTGTACGGGATGCTTCTCATTTTCTGGTTGTTCTCTATCGCTGGAGGCGTGCATATCCTGCGGAATCTTGACATCGCTGCAACTACGCCCGTTAAGGACAGAACGGGTGGAGTGGGGACGACACCCGAGTTTTACTACCCTCTAGCCCGTTCCCAAGCTCTTTTGACCGGAGAAAGCGGCTTGATATTTCAGAAGAGAACTAGAAAACCAAGAGGTGAGTGTACAGCCTGAAAGGCAAATGGCACGATATTTCGACGCACGTAAGAATGTTGAGCATCTTAGCAGGCAAAGCGTGGCGCCTTTTCCAAACAGCGTCTTTACAGCACTTAACCAAGATGCAAAGTGCCGACCCACACGCCCATCACAACCGCCCGCCCACAAATGGCCGCACAGTCTCATCTACTCTGGTGCTCTTATCGCTTCACTCATGAAGAAAAATTGATATGAAGCCATGTTACATGGATATAATACCAGTGCACGTCCTACGTTGGGGAGTTCCCAGCAGAGGGGTCGTAATTGGTTTAAAAAATTTTTTTTGGTAGTTGATTTTTCCTATTCCGTGGGCACTTTACAGCGAAAAGAAGTCTACTGAGGGCAGGACGTATTTGATGTCTAGAAAAAAATTGTCGTTTTGCGAAAATTTCTCGGTTTTTTTTTCTTTACACTTTCGTCGCGGCATCTCCCAGCTGCTATATTCCCCATCCTTCCTCCCGCTCAAGGGCGAAATGTTTTGGGAAAAAGTGTAAGATTATTGGGGAACCATCGGAAATGTGGTAGGGCCTGGAAAGAGAATTGGGAGGGGTCGTAGCAGAGGACCAAAGTATTCTCAGTACGAACTTTCAGAAGGTGCGGGCGGACCACATGTGAGGAGGATATTCTTCACGAGTTGCTCGATGTAACCGCCAGCGCTCACTTTCAAACCGGGATCCACGACGGAAATATTGGACATTCCATTCCAGGTACGTCCGGTCCATACCATCAACCCGCGCCTTGGCGACTGTGGTGAAGATGTCCTAGACCGTGGCGACGTTGTCGGAGCTGCTCGATGTTGGAGGTCTTCCAGATCGAGAGTACTGGTCTCCAGGTAGCTATCCATGGGTGACTCCATACTAGAAGTTTCGCAGCTGTTTGGAGGTGACATGAATTCCAAAGGTCTTCTCCAGTCAGGCTGCGAGATGACTTCATATTTTGGTGTACATGAAGGTGATGGGCGAGAGCCAGCTCCTGCTTATCGAGGAACATCTTGCCCCCCCCCCTGTACATACATGCAGCCTTATCCATCATAGCGGTTGTTAGCACGATGCCAACGGGCAACATCTAAGAATGCTCGTCCAGTGCCCTGTAGAACAAAGTTTTCCGCGGTTTATCACTATGGTGTTGCGTACTGGATTTCTGGGAATATTTTCGCAATGCCTTTTTCCACTCTCAGAGTATCTCTTTTGGTACCCCACCCTCTTCCCATTCATCCATCCTGTTTCGGGGGGGGGCAAAAAAAGACACTTCGACCGAGTCACATATCAGCAAAGTTTTCGCTGCCCAGACAGAAGACGTGGATACGAGTACCAGGGCGGAAGATACCCAAGATGTTCCTCTATGA